ATTCTTCTCTCCTCTTGTTCTCCTCTTCTAATTCTCTTTTATTCTATTCTTCTTCTCTCTTCTATTCCCCTCTTCTATTATTCTATTCTCTTCTTCTGTTCTCTTCTCTTCTATTTTTCTTCTATTCTTCTTCTCTTCTATTATGCTTATTCTCTCTTCTATTCTCTTCTTATCCTCTTCTATTCTATTCTTCTCTTCTCTCCTAATTCTCTTCTCTTCTTCTTCTCTTATAATTCTATTATATTCTATTATATTCTTCTCTCCTCTTGTTCTCCTCTTCTAATTCTCTTTTATCCTATTCTTCTTCTCTCTTCTATTCTCCTCCTCTTCTAATCCTCTTCTCCTCTTCTTCTCGCCTCTTCTTCTCTTCTATTTTTCTTCTCTTCTATTATGCTTATTCTCTCTTCTATTCTCTTCTTATCCTCTTCTATTCTATTCTTCTCTTCTCTCCTAATTCTCTTCTCTTCTTCTTCTCTTATAATTCTATTATATTCTATTATATTCTTCTCTCCTCTTGTTCTCCTCTTCTAATTCTCTTTTACCCTATTCTTCTTCTCTCGTCCATTCTCCTCCTCTTCTAATCCTCTTCTCTTCTTCTCTTCTATTTTTCTTCTCTTCTATTATGCTATTATTCTCTCTCCTATTCTCTTCTAATCCTCTTCTATTCTATTCTTCTTCCCTTCTCTCCTAATTCTCTTCTATTCTTCGTCTCTTATAATTCTATTATCTATTATATTCTTCTTTGTTCTCCTCTTCTAATTCTCTTTTATTCTATTCTTCTTCTCTCTTCTATTCTCCTATTCTCTTCTTCTGTTCTCTTCTCCTCTTCTATTTTTTTTCTCTTCTCTTCGTCTATTCTTCTTCTCTCTCCTCTTCCTTATTTCTCTCCTCTCTTCCTCCCCCGGCGGGGGCTGCAAGCCGGCGGGACGGGCCAGACGGAGAACGCAGCTCCGTCTTTCTCCGCTGCTCCTCCCGCGGGGGCCGCTTTCCATTCAATGAATCTCTCCTCCCCCCTCCCCTCCCTCCCCCTCCCCCGCGGGCTTCCTCCGCCTCCTCCTGATAGGTCCGAGCCGGGCATTCGAAGTGTCCCCGCCGCTTTCCATTGGCTGGCCGGGCGGACCCCCGCGGAGAGGGGTGGGCGGGGCCTCCCCTTGAAATAGGCAACCGGGCGCTCCGTCGTCTCCTCGCCCAGCTGCCCGCGCTGCCTTTGTCTGCCGAGGCTGCCCGGGCGAGGCCAGGCGAGCAGCGCTCCGCGAAAGCAGGCAGGCAGCCAGCCCCGATCGCGCTGCCTTTTCGGCTCCGCAGGCTGCCCTCCGCCTGGGGAAGCTGCCCGTGCCTGCCGGCAGAGCCTGAAAGCTGCCCATCTCTCCGCCTTGCAGGCTGCCGTCCGTCTGGGGAAGCCGCTAGCAGAGATTGGAGCTGCGCTAGGAGGCGAGTCCTGATCTCTCTGCCTTCTTTCCTTTGCAGGCTGCCGTCCGTCTGGGAAAGCTGCCCTGCCTGCCAGCGGAGACTGGGAGCTGCCCATCTCTGCCTTGTCTCCTGTGCAGGCTGCCGTCCGTCTGGGAGAGCCGCTAGCAGAGGCTGCAGCTGCCCTAGGAGAGAGAGAGCTTCGATCCCTCTGTCTCCTCTTCGCCACAGGCTGCCATCCGCCTGGGAAAGCTGCAAAGACTGGGAGCTGCCCATCTTTGTGCCTTGTCTTCTCCGCAGGCCGTCGTCCGTCTGGAAAGCTGTGCGCAGAGCCCAGGGCTGTGCTAGGAGAGAGCCTCTGATTCCTCTGCCTTCTCATCTTCGCAGGCTGCCATCCATCTGGGAAAGCTCCCCTGCCCGCCAGCAGAGACTGGAGGTGCCCATCTCTGTGCCTTCTCCGCAGGCTGTCGTCCGTCTGGGAAAGCTGCCTTGCCGGCCAATAAGAGACCGCTCCAGCGCTTGACAACAGCCGGCCATCCATCCATCCCGGGGTATGTGAATCCTTCCCTCGGGGATTGCCGCACCAGGAGTCTCGCGGGGATCAGACGGCGCCAGCTCGCCATGCCGGTGGAAACTCTCCAAGCCAGCCGTGCCATGAGCACCGTGTCGGCCACGGCGCCTTTCACCTCCGCCATGCCCTTCCGCATCCTTAACAAGGGGCCCGAGTACTTTCGCCGGGCCCCGGCCAGCACCTCCCGCAAGCTCAGTGCCGTCGAACGCCTGGAAGCGGACAAAGCCAAGTACGTCAAGAGTCAACAGGTGGCCACCACCAAACAAGACCCCATCCGGCCGTTGGTGCTCAAGCAGCCGCTCTTCACCCCAGGGGTCAGGCGGGCGATCTTCACCCCCAACCGCAAGGTCCCTCAAGTGGGGCGGCGGGGAGAAGGTGGCGGCGGGCCCAAATCCTCCCTCAATTTGGAAATCCTCAATAACTTGATCAATTTTTGCGACAGCCCTCTCGCTTTTCCCAAACCGGACCGGAGCCCTTCGGACAGCCCGTGGCGAGCCAAGGTCCACAGCCGGAATCTGGACAGCCTCCCTTCCACCCCTAAGAAGAAGCCCGCCACGGACATGAGCAAACTCTCGCAAAGTTCGGCGGCTTCCAAGCCGTCCAGCACCGTGGCTGTCCGCCGGGTCGACGTCCGGCCCTGCGGGGTGTCGCCGGCCAGAGGTACCCCCGCCATCCAACTGTCTCCACTCCCTGCTCCCCTGGCGCCCCCCCAAAACCTGCCTGCCACCCCTCTCAGCTGCCCCAGCCCAAGGGGAGAGCCGCGGACCGACAGCGCCAAGCCCCAGACCTTGTTACACCGGTCCAAATCAGATTTGAGCGACCGATATTCGCGTGCCACAGCCGACTTGGAACGCTTCTTCAACTACTGCGGTTTGGATCCGGAGGACGTCGGCGACATGGAGATGGAGAGGTTCACTCGAGCCAGCTCGGACATTGTGTCCATCAAGTTCCACAGCGTCAGCACCAGCAGCTCGGTGGGGACCCACTCCCGGCGCAGCACCGTCACCGTGGAGGACAAGCAAGCCGAACGCATGCCGTACGGGATCTCCATCATTGAGCGCAACGCCCGGGTCATTAAGTGGCTTTATGGACTCCGACAGGCGAAGGAGGCGCAGAAGGTATCCAACGTATAGCAGCCGTCGGTGAAGGAGGGGGTGGGGTGGGAACTCCAACGACGAGGGACGAGCCCCTCAACATTGTCTGAGGCTCTTTATTCCTGTTTGCAACACGAGAAGGAAACAAAAAAAAACATTTGTCGTCTCCAGAATGGGGCCGCGCTCCATGATGCCCGTTTGTCGATCCCTCGTCTTGACGTTAAAATCCTTCCCACCGTGGGGAGGTTTGGAATCACGCACGGTTGAGGCTTGTCAAGAAACGCACAAATGGAGGAAAAAACGTAACTGTGGGAGGAGGGGGGGGGTCCTTGGTGCTGTCTGAGCTTGGCTGTTTTGCTTGCAGGCGTTTCGTGACCCAACTAGGTAACGTCATCTGTGCTGGAAGGGAGGGGGTTTTGCTCTCTGTTTATAAACGCGTGGCTCGTNATACTATACTATAGTATACTATACCATACCAGACTATACCAAACTATACTATACCATACTAGTACTATACTAATACTATACTAGTACAATACTATACTAATACTATATTATACTATACCATACTATACTATACCAATACTATACCATACCAGACTATACTATACCATACTAGTACTATTCTAATACTATACTAGTGCCATACTATACTAATACTACTACTATACTTCAGACTATACTATACCATACTATGCTAATACTATGCTAATACTATGCTAATACTACTACTATACTAATACTATACTATATGACACAATACAAATACTAGTACAATACTAATACTATACTTATAACATTATACTATATTATCAAATCATAATATATAGTACAATTATTAGACTAGATTGATTTTTTATTTGTCACTTGTTCCGGCTTTGTTTCCCACCATTCGGAGTCTCCCAAGGAGGCCGGTCTCAAAAGATTGTGTAAAGGAATAAAAATATCCCGAGAAAACCTGCGAATCCTCTTCCCAACCTGGTAAGGTACCGACCTAGAGAAAGGGTTAATTCAATAACCAGGTCAAGCGTAGGGTGAGAGCGGCTGGGTAGATTGTAAGGTTTTATTTAATTGAAACCTTTATACAGCTGCCCGTTTTATGATCAGCTCTGGGCGGCTCCCATTCAAAAGTTAAAACACACAAAAGTATATTAAAACTACCAAATGAAACTCATTAAAAGGTTCAAATTACATGCTTCATCGGGAGGCTGGATAAACTCATCTTCTGCACAGGCTATTTAATTATTCTATTTTTACTTATTTATTTTTATCCCACCTCTATTATTTTTTTTATAAGTAAATTAAAGTGGCAAATAGGCCTAATACTCCTGCCTCTTCCTATTCCCCCCCCTCAACCACAACAATCCTGTGAGGTAGGTTGGGCTGAGAGAAAGACATTGGTTCAAAGTCACTCAGTTGGCTTTCGTGCCTAAGGCGGGACTAGAACTCACCGTCTCCTGGTGATTGGCTCAAAGTCACCCATCCAGATTTCATGCCTAAGGCAGGACTAGAATTCACCGTCTCCTGGTGATTGGCTCGGTCACCCAGCTGGCTTTCATGCTGAAGGCGGGACTAGAACTCACGGTCTCCTGGGGATTGGCTCAAGGTTACCCAGCTGGCTTTCACACCTAAGGTGGGACTATAACTCACCATCTCCTGGTGATTGGCTCGGTCACCCAGCTGGCTTTCATGCTGAAGGCGGGACTAGAACTCACGGTCTCCTGGTGATTGGCTCAAGGTTACCCAGCTGGCTTTCACACCTAAGGTGGGACTATAACTCACCATCTCCTGGTGATTGGTCCGAAGTCATCCAGCTTTCATGCCTTAGGCGGGACTAGAACTCACGGTCTCCTGGTGATTGGCTCAAGGTTACCCAGCTGGCTTTCACACCTAAGGTGGGACTATAACTCACCATCTCCTGGTGATTGGTCCGAAGTCATCCAGCTTTCATGCCTTAGGCGGGACTAGAACTCACCGTCTCCTCGTGATTGGTCCAAAGTC